TACGTATTCAAAGATGATGGCCTTTATGGAAAAGAGTCAGGAGAAAGAAAATCATGCTGCTTTAGGTAAGAAACTAAAACATAGGCTCATTTTTTTTTTTTTTTAAATACACTCTATGAGGAGGTATGTTTTTGGTTTGCTACTTTTGGAAATGCGATCTTCAACCTAGGTTGGAAAATGCCACTCAACATTAGACTTATTTGTCTAAATTGTTCTGGAGTATGTTTTACTTTTGAATCATTGGAATCCTTTTAAACTATTTATTTATTTAGTAAATTTAGAAGCATTAGCACATAGGACATTTGTAGTTGAGGAAGCAGCTTGAGAGATCTGAACATTCCTTTTTGGGAAGGGCATGTGAGTGTTAGAATGGTGGGAGAAGACCCAGTTTTTATTCCCTTTGTTGAATGAATTTGATATGTCCTCCCAGTTTTTTTTCTAAATGGATTTATGTAGAAGTTGGAATAGTTATCCTTATACCTGCATCTTATAGAGAACAGGTGGACCAGTTTTTACCAATGAAAACTGAACTGGGGTTGGGGGTGGGGTCATGAATCACAGGAGATGGCTATGCCATATTTAACATTAAGCAAACATTATTCACAGAATCCTTTCTTAAATGATCATTTTATTACTGCCTTTTCTAGTGGGAGGTTGGTATATTAAGTGTAAATTAGAATTATAACAGTTTCAGATAGATCAGGAGTAGAAGGCCCATGTTTTCTGTCATACTTTTTTGGCTTTATTTATATATTAAAAACCAAATTTCAGTGTTTAAATAAAAGGAATACACACACACACGTGAAATGGAATATAGAATCTCCCACTTAAAATTTCTCTTCTGAAAGTATTACTGTTAATGTTTAATCATCATCCGAGGATTTTTTTCCCCATTGATTTTTAGAGAGAGTGGAAGGGAGGGGGAGAGACACAGAGAGAGAAACATCGATGTGAGAGAGACACATTGATTGGTTGCCTCCCCCTGATTATGGAGTACTTGGCATCCATAAGCGAATGAATCAGACTTAAATTCATCTCATCTCCCCAATTCCCATTCCCCATTCCAGCCTCAGCCATGCTGGGAAAAGAAGTGCTAGTGAGATTAACTCGAGTGCCTGCTGCTGCCATTGGTCCCAGGGCAGTAATGGATACTCCTCATCTCTTCCCTCCGCTACCCTGTCTGGGCCTCATTTTCCTCCTCTAGCATTTTTGTTTGTCTGGGTGGCTTAGCTCCTGGAGTGACCCAGATTCTCATCCTTGAGGTGTCTGAGCCTTTGAATTTGCTTTTGTCATTGTTGTTGGTTTGGGGCAGTGGTTCTCAACCTTCTGGCCCTTTAAATACAGTTCCTCATGTTGTGACCCAACCATAAAATTATTTTCATTGCTACTTCATAACTGTAATGTTGCTACTGTTATGAATCGTAATGTAAATATCTGATATGCAGGATCATCTTAGGCGACCCCTGTGAAAGGGTCGTTCGATCGCCAAAGGGATCGCGACCCACAGGTTGAGAACCGCTGCCTTAGGGCAAGACTGGTCTTTTGTGTACCTCCCATGTAAGAGATCATAAATGTCAACTATCCTTTTAGTTAGTTGCTTACTTTTCATTTTATGATGATTACTAAAGTAAATCAAATGTAGTGCTCGTTTTTCTTTGAAATGTACTCTGAATTGATCTGTATTTCTAGTGCAATGAAATGAGTTATAAATTAGAAAACATCAAACCCAGCCAAAGTCTGTATAGCAAGCCCATCTAACATTCATTGTTTTTCCCCAGAGCCGACTTTTTTGAAGATGAGGCAGTTGAACAGGTTTTACAGTATAATCCTTGGTGGACTGATACGTATTCAAAGATGATGGCCTTTATGGAAAAGAGTCAGGAGAAAGAAAATCATGCTGCTTTAGGTAAGAAACTAAAACATAGGCTCATTTTTTTTTTTTTTTTAAATACACTCTATGAGGAGGTATGTTTTTGGTTTGCTACTTTTGGAAATGCGATCTTCAACCTAGGTTGGAAAATGCCACTCAACATTAGACTTATTTGTCTAAATTGTTCTGGAGTATGTTTTACTTTTGAATCATTGGAATCCTTTTAAACTATTTATTTATTTAGTAAATTTAGAAGCATTAGCACATAGGACATTTGTAGTTGAGGAAGCAGCTTGAGAGATCTGAACATTCCTTTTTGGGAAGGGCATGTGAGTGTTAGAATGGTGGGAGAAGACCCAGTTTTTATTCCCTTTGTTGAATGAATTTGATATGTCCTCCCAGTTTTTTTTCTAAATGGATTTATGTAGAAGTTGGAATAGTTATCCTTATACCTGCATCTTATAGAGAACAGGTGGACCAGTTTTTACCAATGAAAACTGAACTGGGGTTGGGGGTGGGGTCATGAATCACAGGAGATGGCTATGCCATATTTAACATTAAGCAAACATTATTCACAGAATCCTTTCTTAAATGATCATTTTATTACTGCCTTTTCTAGTGGGAGGTTGGTATATTAAGTGTAAATTAGAATTATAACAGTTTCAGATAGATCAGGAGTAGAAGGCCCATGTTTTCTGTCATACTTTTTTGGCTTTATTTATATATTAAAAACCAAATTTCAGTGTTTAAATAAAAGGAATACACACACACACGTGAAATGGAATATAGAATCTCCCACTTAAAATTTCTCTTCTGAAAGTATTACTGTTAATGTTTAATCATCATCCGAGGATTTTTTTCCCCATTGATTTTTAGAGAGAGTGGAAGGGAGGGGGAGAGACACAGAGAGAGAGAAACATCGATGTGAGAGAGACACATTGATTGGTTGCCTCCTGCTCAAGCCCCAACCCAGGCCAGGAATTGAGCCTGCAATTGAGGTACATGCCCTTGACCAGGATAAAACCCTAGACCAGTGGTCGGCAAACTCATTAGTCAACAGAGCCAAATATCAACAGTACGATGATTGAAATTTCTTTTGAGAGCCAAATTTTTTAAACTTAAACTATATAGGTAGGTACATTGTTATTAACTTGATTAGGGTACTCCTAAACTGGCCTTTGCTAAAAACGTCCTCAATCTGATTGAGGTACGTTCGCTGAGGTCAACCCCTTCCAACTCTCCCATCCACACTCGTCTTGTATACTTGTTTTGTCTATCTCCTTTCGTTCATCCTCTCTATATGTCCACCCCCCACTTCTTCTAATGCCACTTCTTCAAAATAGACTCGCCCAGGCCGAAAACCGACTTCTGTGCATGGGCCACGAAGTTTCAATCGCACTGTACGTGCGCGCCCGCACGTGGTATTTTGTGGAAGAGCCACACTAAAGGGGCCAAAGAGCCGCATGTGGTTCGTGAGCCGCAGTTTGCCAACCACTGCCCTAGACCTTTCAGTCCACAGGCCAACGCTCCAACACTGAGCCAGACCAGCTAGGGCTATATTTTTAATGTATATACCCACATCTAAATACTTGCTTTAAGAGATTTATATATATAGAATCATATTCTCTTCTTGCTTTTTAAAATTTTGTGATATATGTTGTATATCTTTTGAATTAGCACTTATAATTATAGCTGACATTTTTAATCTCTCTCCAGTATTCTGTTGTGTATTTGTATCATGATTGGTAGACATTTGTGCTGTTGACTACTGATGAAACTTTGGGTTGTTTGCAGTGTTCTGGAGTTGTCTCCTTTGATTACTAAATCCAGAGTAGCTATAGGGTCTCTATTGCATGTCTTATTTTGATTTTTCTGCATAGGAAAGCAATAGCCCATTATATATTCTATATTTAGTGTCTAACTTTATGCCTGTTACAAAATAGGTACTCGATAAATAGTTATAGAAAAAGTAAATATTGCAGAAATTTTTTTTGTAGTTAGGTTTTGTTAGAGTTTAGGTGATTTCTACCAGATTGAAAAATTGCTACTCTAATCTTTTAGAATTGACTGCTGCATAAAACTCATTTTTAAATAATGATTCTTGTTATATTGCTTTCAATAAATTCTTGGATTTATATTTCAGTTTAAGCACAATATAGATAATAACTGTATATGCCATGTAGATCTGATCAGAAAATTTGCTCAAACTTAAGTCAAAGATATTTACTGGTTTGAATCAGTTTCCCCAGTTTTAGTGCAGTGTTTTAATGAGGTGGTGGTTGTGTAGTTATGTTTTCCGTCCACAAGGGTGAGCTAGTTGCCCTAAAAATCAGAGTTCTCATGTATAATTTTAACAGATTAAGCCAGGCTGCGTATTTAACCACTGGCCCTCTTGACCCTTCATCTTCATCTGACCCATAGCATATATCCAGTCTGATGCTTCAAGAAAAAGCATAATCTGCTAAACTAGTGTGGTGATTCATTCTAAAAATTACCTTTAAAGATAGCAGGGGTTTCTGACCTAAGTTAGAAGAACTTGAGTGCTGTGTTGTACAGAAAATGCCTCTTCTAAATGTGTCAAGCATAGGATTAAGGATCAATTATAAGCTAAATACAGGGCTTGAGGTTTAACGCTTTGGTCCACGACAGGCTGGCAGTGTGATCTTGCTGTGGGAATCCTGTAGCTACCACATAAGAGTTGTCATGAGGATTGAATAAGATGATGTATTTAACATCCTTGGTATATTGTAGTAGTTAGAAATTATTATTATTATTAAGTTAAATCTTTATTGTTGAAAGTATTACATATGTTTCATCCCCTCCTCCCCCCACTGAACCCTTCTAGCCCACCCCCGCTCCAAGCCTTCAGCACCCTATTGTCTGTGTCCACAGGTTATGCATATATGCATATAAGTTCTTTGGTTGATCTCTTCCCACCCATCCTTCACTGCCTTCCCTCTGAGATTCCACAGTCTGTTAAGTTATGTGAGTTCCTTATATACAGTAGGTCCTTGGGTTACGTCGGAGATCCGTTCCTACGGCGCGACATGCTTCTGTGTCTCTGGATCTATTTTGTTCATCAGTTTATTTTGTTCTTTTGATTCCACATATGAGTGAGATCATGTGATACTTGTCTTTCTCTGACTGGCTTATTTCACTTAGCATAATACTCTCCAGGTCCCCTCATGCTGTCTCAAAGTGTAAGAGTTCCTTCTTTTTTACTGCTGCATAGTATTCCATGGTGTAAATGTACCACAGCTTTTCTCCACTCAACTGCTGATGGGCACTTGGGCTGTTTCCAGATCTTAGCTATTGTAAATTGTGCTGCTGTGAACATAGGGATGCATATATTACTTCTGATTAGTTCTTCGAATTTCTTAGGATATATTGCTAGAGGTGGGATTACTGGTTCAAATTTAAATTTCCAAATTTAAATTTTTGAGGAAACTTCATACTGTTTTCCATGATGGCTGCATCAGTCTGCAGTCCCACCAGCAGTGTACTAGGGTTCCCTTTTCTCCACATCCTCACCAGCACTTGTTATTTGTTGATTTGTTGATGATAGCCATTCTGACAGGTGTGAAGTGATATCTCATTGCTGTTTTAATTTGCATCTCTCTGGTGATTAGTGAGTTTGAGCATTTTTTCATGTCTCTTGGCCATCTGTATGTCTGCCTTGGAGAAGTATCTAGTTAGGTCCTTTGCCCATTTTTTAATTAGATTGTTTGTCTTCTTTTGTTAAGTTATGTGAGTTCCTTATATACAGTAGGTCCTTGGGTTACGTTGGAGATCCGTTCCAACAGCGCGACATAACGCGATTTTCACTGTAAGTCGGAACCCACCTACATAAGCACCTGCGTCACTCACATGGAGCACATACACAGCAGTAATGAAGTGAAACAGTAAAAAAAAATTTTAAAGAAAGATGACAATTCCTGACCTTTACTTGTAGTAAATAAATAATAAAAAACATAAGGCACATATGTACATACGTCGAAATGACGGAACTTTTTTTTTTTTTTTTTTCATAAATGGGAGACGGCAATGTAACCATGAAATGACTTAGGTCAAGTCCGACGTAACCCGAGGACTGTCTGTATTTTGGATATTAATCCTTTATCAGATGTGTCATTGCCAAATATGTTCTCCCATTCGGTGGGCTCTTGTTTCATTTTGTTGATGGCTTCTTTTGCTGTTCAGAAGCTTTTTATTTTGATATAGTTCCATTTGTTTATTTTCTCCTTAATTTCCTTTGCCCTAGGACCGTGGTCGTCAAACTGCGGCTCGCGAGCCACATGCGGCTCTTTGGCCCCTTGAGTGTGGCTCTTCCTAAGTCTTAGGAGTACCCTAATTAAGTTAATAACAATGTACCTACCTAGTTTAAGTTTAAAAAATTTGGCTCTCAAAAGAAATTTCAATCGTTATACTGTTGATATTTGGCTCTGTTGACTAATGAGTTTGCCGGCCACTGCCCTAGGAGATGTATCTCTAAACATATTGCTACAAGAGATGTTGGAGATTTTGCTGCCTATGGTTTCTTTTAGGATTTTTATGGTTTCACGGCTTACATTAAAGTCTTCTATCCATTTTGAGTTTATTCTTGTGTATGGTGTACATTGGTGGTCTAGTTTCATTGTTTTTGCATGTACCAAATTTTCCCAACACATTTTATTGAGGAGACTCTCTTGAGGTGACTGTATGTTCTTGCTTTCTTGTCAAATATTAATTGAGCGTAATGTCTTAGGTCGATTTCAGGGGTCTCTGTTCTGTTCCATTGATCTATATGCCTGTTCTTGTGCCAGTACCAGGCTGTTTTGATTACGGTGGCTTTGTAGTATAACTTGAAATCTGGTATTGTGAGCTTGGAGTGTTGCTTCCTCTTGGATTTTTTGGGAATAGTTTGAGGAGTATAGGTGACAGCTGTTCTTTAAATGTTTGTTAAAACTCTCCTGTGAAGCAGTCGGGACCAGGGCTTTTGTTTGCTGGGAATATTTTTATTACTGCTTCTATTTCATCTTTTGTTATTGGCCTATTCGTTTCCTGGTTCTTCCCAATTCAGTTTTGGGAGATTGTATTTTTCTATGAATTTGCCCATTTCATCCACATTGCACAGCTTATTGGCATACTAGGGGCCCAGTGCACAAATTCATGCACCTTGAAAGGAACTATGGGCCACGAGGCTGTGGTGGACACAGGGGCGGGTCTCAGTCCATCCTCTGCACCTCTGCCCGGACCCTCCCACCATGGCCCCTGGTCCCCTGTCTGCCGGCAGCCCCGCTACCGCCACTGCTGCTCCCATGTGCTGACGGCGCTGGCACCTGCTAACGGCACAGAGCGATTGGGGCTGGCGCCAACAGTGGTGCAAGCAGGACTGGCGCTGTCAGTGAGTGAGAGCGGTGGCTGCTGCTGCCCCAATCACCCCTCAGGAACAGGGGGAGGTGGAGAAGCCCTCAGGGGTGATCGGGTTCAGTAGCTGCCGCCCCGATCGCACCTCAGGAGCAGAGGGAGGTGGAGAAGCCCTAAGGGGCAATGGGGCTGGCAGCTGCCACTCGCACTCACTGATGGTGCTGAATGATCAGGGCCGGCACTGGGGGTCAGCAGCAGGTGCGAGCGGAGGCTTTGGCACTGGCAGCGGGTGCGAGCGGGCTGGTGCCGGCAGCAGGTGCGAGCACTGGGCAGGACCACGGTGCATGGGAGCAAAGAATTTTCAGTAACCACCAGAGGCTTGCCCCGATGACAGCGACCGGTGCCCTGCCTTGGTTTGGCGCCCCCGCTCACCTCCTCCACCATCCTGCCATGGCCGATGCCCGTCATGTTCCCCACTCTGCCGCCTGCTGCCAATGCCTGCCGTATTCTGTGCACATCACCTGGTGGTCAGCACACGTCATAACGACCGGTTATTCGGTTGTTCTGCCATTCAGTCTATTTGCATATTAGGGTTTTATATATATAGACTAGAGGCCCGGTGCACAAAAATTTGTGCACTCGGGGGGCGGGGGGAGGGGGGTCCCCCAGCCCTGCCTGTGCCCTCTCGCAGTCTGGGACCCCTTGGGAGATAACGACCTGCTGGCTTAGGCCTGCTCCCGGGTGGCAGAGGGCAGGCCCAATCCCTAAGTGCAGCCCCTGGTCAGGCTCAGAGCAGGGCCAATTGGGGAGTTGGGGCGCCGCCCCGTCATGCACAGAACAGGGCGGATCGGGAGGTTGCAATGCCACCTTCAGTCACGCTCAGGGTAGGGCCGATTGGGGGGTTGGGGCACCGCCCCCTGTCACACTCAAGGCAGGGTCGATGGGGAGGTTGCGGCGCCACCCCCTGTCACGCACAGAGCAGGGCCGATCAGGGGGTTGAGGCGCTGCCCCCTGTCACTCACAGAGCAGGGCCCATCAGAGGGGTTGGGGCGCCACCACTGTCACACTTGGGGCAAGCCTGATGGAGAGGTTATGGCTCTACCCTGTCACACACAGAGCCGCAGGGCAGTCAGGAGGTTGGGGAGCTCCCCCCTATCAGGCACAGAGCAGGGCTGATCAGGGGGTTGGGGTGCCTTCCCCTGTCACGAACAGAGTAGGGCGGATAGGGAGGTTGTGGCCCCGCCCCCTGTCACTCACAGAGCCACAGGGCGATCAGGGGGTTTGGGCGCTGCCCCCTGTCATGCTGATCCCGGTGCCGGGAGCCTCGCTGCTCCGCTGATCCCGGTGCTGGGAGGCATATTACCCTTTTACTATATAGGATAGAGGCCTGGTGCATGGGGAGGGGCTGGCTGGTTTGCCCTGAAGGGTGTCCTGGATCAGGGGGGGGGTCCCCACTGGGGTGCCTGGCCAGCCTGGATGAGGGGATGATGGCTGTTTGCAGCTGATCACACCCCCTTCAGGGTGGGGGTCCCCCCTGGGGTGCCTGGCCAGTCTGGGTGAGGGGCTGAGGGCTGTTTTCAGGCTGGTGGGTGACTGAAGCTCCCAACTGCTCCTTTTTTTCTTTTTTTTTTTTATTCTGGGCCAAGGCCTCTGCTGCTGAAAGCAGGTATCTGGTTTGTTTCGGTTCTATAATCGAAACACTGTATCATCTCCAGGTCTGAGATCCCGGCTGGCTGAAAGCTGGTTTCTGAGGGTTTGTTTAGCTTCTATATTTGTTACAATGTTTCATACTGCCAGCTCAGAGGCCGGTAAGGCAGGCGGGGAACGTTGGAGTCCTCCCTCACTGAAGCAAGCAAGCCTCATGTTCGCTTCCAGTTGCCTGGCTGCCGGCCGCCATCTTGGCTGGCAGTTAATTTGCATATCGCCCTGATTAGCCAATGGGAAGGGTAGCGGTCGTACGCTAATTACCATGTTTTTCTTTTATTAGATAGGATAGTTGTTCATAGTATTTTCTTCCAATCATCTGTGTTTCTGTGGTATCAGTTGTTACTTCACTGCTTTCATTTTATTTATTTAGGTCCTCTCTCTTTGTTTCCTGATGAGTCTGGCTAACAGTTCATCAATCTTGTTTATCTTTTCAAAGAACCAGCTCTTGGTTTCATTGATTTTTTTTTGGTATTTTTTTAATGTCTATGTCATTTATTTCTGCTCTAATCTTTATTATTTCCTTCCTTCTCCTTATTCTGGGCTTTTCTTGTTTTTCTCTTTTTAATTCTTTTAAATTGTAGGGTTAAATAGTTTATTATTAATTTTTGTTGTATTTTGAGGTAGGCCTGTAGTGCCATGAGCTTCCCTCTCAGGACTGCTTTTGCTGTGTCCCAGAGATTTGGGGTTATTGTGCATTTTCCAGGAACTTTCTTGCTGCATCTCATTGATATCCCATTCTTTAATAACATGCTATGTAGCCTCCATATGTTTTAATGTTTGAGTACTTTTACTGTAGTTGATTTTTAATTTCTTGCCATTGTTATCTGAGAAGATGCTTGATATGATTTCAGTCTTCTTGAACTTGTAGAGACTTGTTTTGTGTCCTAACTTGTGGTCTGTCTTTGAGAATGACCCACGTGCACTTGAGAAGAATGTATAGTCTTCCCCTTGGGGTGAAATGTTCTATAAATGTCAATGAAATCCATATGATCCAGTGTGTTATTGAGAGTCTCTGTTTTCTTGTTAATTTTTTGTCTGGAATATCTATTCAGTGAAGTCAGTGTAGTGTTAAAGTTTTCTACAATGACTATA